TACGTGGCGGAGCGCGACGGGGGGCGTGCGCGTGGGCGGCTGTAGCGGGCGGGCCGTGGTTGTGCGTGGGCCTGACTAGCGCGCGGGCGGCGGCCTAGAGGGGTGTCGCGGCGGCCTAAGGGCGGGCTGCGACGTTCTGGGCGGCGGTCGACGGGCGGCTAGGGGGCTGCTCGTGGGCGGCGACGGTCGCGCGGGCGGCTAGGGGTCGGCGCGCGCTTAAAAAACGGTCGCACGCGGGCTGCTAGCGGGCTACGCGCGCTAAAAAAAAAGGCCGCGCGCGGCACTAGCGAGCTGCGCACGGGCAGCAGGAGGAAGAGAGGCGCACGAGGGCGCACTAGGAGAGAGGCGCTCGAGGGCGCTAATGAGATACGGCGCTCGAGGGCGCTTCTAGTGGTGGGCCCTTAGGTAAGTGGTCCTAGGACTAGGACCTAAGCTCTTAATACCATGTCAGAAAGAAGAGGTGTTGACTAGGAAGAAATGGGAGTACAAATATGCAACCCTAGAGTTGTGAACCCCCTAAAAGGCTAACCCACTGTAGCCTACAATAATGTAACCCCTATAACATTTGACATCAATTTGAGAGGAAGGTTAGCAGCGAGAACGAGGGGTGAGGGGGGGAAGGAGGGAATAAGCAGCGAGGAGGGGGGGAAGGAGGGAATAAGCAGTGAGGAGGGGGGGAAGGAGGGTATAAGCAGCGAAGAGGGGGGGAAGGAGGGAATAAGCAGCGAGGAGGGGGGGGAGTGGGGGAAGGAGGGTATGAGCAGCGAGGAGGGGGGAAGGGGGGGATGGAGGGAATAAGCAGCAAGGAGAGGGGGGAGAGGGGGGAGAGGAGGGAATAAGCAGCGAGGAGGAGGGAGGGGAGGGGGGCGTACAGTGGGAATAAGCATCGAGATGGGGGGGAGAGGGGGCGGTGGGGTAGGCATTCTTTCCCTATCCTACCGCTTCACCCCTGCATACCATGTGTTTCAACACCTGTTTACGCTTTGTTGCCCCCCTGATGAACATTTGTTTCCCTTCTGCGTACCCTTTATTTCCCTCCTGTGTACCCTTTGTTTCCCTCCTGCGTACCCTTTGTTTCCCTCCTGCGTACCCTTTGTTTCCCTCCTGCGTACCCTTTGTTTCCCTCCTGTGTACCCTTTGTTTCCCTCCTGCGTACCCTTTGTTTCCCCCCCTTCTTACCCTTTTTCTCCCCCCTGCTTACCCTTTATTTCCCCTTCCTCTCCTCTCTCCCGATCTTCCCTATTTCCCTCCGCTTTCTCCACTATCTCCCCTCCCTGCCCTCTCTTCCCTGTCCTCTCTCCCCTCCCTGCCCTCTCTTCCATGTCCTCTCTTCCTTCCCTGATCTCTCTTCCCTCCCTGTTCTCTCTTCCCTCCCTGTTCTCTCTTCCCTCCCTGTTCTCTCTTCCCTCCCTGTTCTCTCTTCCCTCCCTGTTCTCTCTTCCCTCCCTGTTCTCTCCTCCCTCCCTGTTCTCTCTTCCCTCCCTGTTCTCTCCTCCCTCCCTGGTCTCTCTTCCCTCCCTGTTCTCTTTGTTCTGTGGTGCAGCTCATCATGCATGATGCAACCAAACAGACAAGTTACCGGTAGTTAGATTTAGGATAGTGTGGTGTCTTCCCTTGCCGTATCATAACATCAAATACTAGTACCGTAGGTTATTCACAGAATAACTAATCTATTTAGGGTTTTACATGTAATACCGTATAGCCCCGGATATAACCGCAGGCCTATGTTAAGCGCATGCGCTTGTATCTGGAGCAATGCGCTTATGGCCGATCCTCAATTAGAAGCGCACCCCCTGAAAAATCGTTACTTATTATAAGCGCACCCCTGCTGTATAACAAGTATTTTTATTGAAATTTAGCACTTTATAAACAACCTACATCCAAGCTACACTTCTCTAGCTAACAATTTCAAATAAAACTTCAGTGTCAAATACATTTAACTTGAATACTAGCCTACACACCATTTTCAAGATTAGTCTAGCCTAAGGCCTACTCCTCGTCCGACTCAGGCTCCGTGGAGTTGTTGCCAAAGAACCCGTCTGCTTGCACGTCGTCATCTACCTCTACCTCGTGGGACAGCTGACCTCTCCGGTGCGCCAGCACGAGTCCGTCTTCACTCCCGTCAAGGGCATTGCTGATGCCGCAGGTGAGGAACGCTTTCTTAATCAGGTCGGTGGGCACAGCTTTCCACGCCCGCGAAATCCACTTGAGCACCACCTCCGGAGGTGGTTTCTTGATGTTCCCTGCACCACAGACACGGGGGTGGGAAACACGTGAGTCCACAAGCAGGCAGACAAGCAGACAAAGCGGTCACGGGAGAACACTTTGCGTACCTGCGGGCGTCAGGATGTTCATGCCGTCCTGCTCGAACTAGGTCTGGTACTGCTGCCGAACACTCGCCTTGAAGCTTTTGTTGACCGACACATCGAGCGGCTGCAAGTCTGCCGTGCATCCCGCCGGGATGACCGCCGGCACGATGTTGAGTTCCGCGAATTTCGCCTTGACTTCGGGTGTCAGGTGACCACGATAGGAGTCGAGCACCAGCATGGCGCTCCGGCTCTGCAATCCGAACTTCGGTTTCAGGAACGGCACCACGCCTGAGGCGAGCCACTCGATGACGCCCGAGGCCTCCATCCACCCGTTAGCTTGGCAGCCGACCACGACATCTGCATACAAGCAAGCGTCGGTTAGATTATATTTTTTATTTTCTTTTCATTTCGCATAAGCAGCTTCTTACCGTTCGGGAAGTCACCCTTTGGGAGGGTCTTGCGCTTGAAATACACCCACGGCTTCAACTTCTCGCCCGTCGCCGTGCACGCCAGCATCACAGTGACTCTCTCTTTCCTGGTAACCACCGCTGCGGATGGGCACCGACTTCACGCCCTTCTGCTCCACCGTGGTAGTCGCCGGCATCTCCAGCCACAAAGGCGTCTGGTCGGCATTGATGATGTAACGATTGTCGATGTCGTACTCGTGGCGTGCGTCGCGGACAAACTGCCAAAATTCCTTGCACTGCTTCGCCACGTCTGCGCACGGGGAGGGAGGGACGGGTAAAAGGGCGGATGAGCACCGCTACAGATAAACATACATAGGCAAGAAAGTACAGAGATACAACATAAAATTTCACGCTAGCATGACAGTGCACAGAAAGGCACTTACGCTGCTATGTCTTTTGCGCCACCTTTGTTTTCATGCGCACGGTGAGATTCCACCGCTTGCGGAACCGCTCCGTCCAGCGATGACTCGCCTTCCACTTGACGTCCGGGAACAACACCTTCATCACCTCTTTTGACCAGTCTTGCAGCCGGCCGACTGATACTGCCACACCGCGGCGTCGCCAGTCCAGGAGTTGGGCGTACACTTTCATCTCCATGGGTCTGTACCAGGAAGACCTTCCGCGCCCATGAAGCCGACACCGAGCGCTGTGTGCCGACTTGAGCTCCTCCGCTTGGTTTTTCCAATCTGTGAGGCATTTGCGGTGTATGCCGGACTGACGCGCGACCTCGCTTATCGATGCCGCAAGCTCCAGCCGAACGAGCCACTTCAGTTTCTCCTGGGCGGTGTAGCGCTGCCGTTTGTGTTGAGTCGGCTTGTGCCTGGGAGAGGGGGGGCGGGCATCTCGGTTCTCAGAGGAGGGGTGGGGTCGTTTTTTGTTAATCGGCGGATACGTTGGGATCGGCATATTCTCGCGTGGTGCGTCGCGCCACCAAGATTCCACACCGTCGTCGTCCGCGTCTGTTGCTTCACGATCTGGGAACACATCTTCCTCGGCGCCTTCTTCACCGTCGACTCCACCGTCGCCTCCACCGTCGCCTCCAGTGTCGCCGTCGCATGTGGGTTGTTTATCGGCGGCCACGTCATCTTCGGCGCCCACAGCGGACTCGTCCCACGTGCAGGCTTCTGGATTTCCCCACCGCGGTGCAGTCGGCGGAGCATCGATTCGCCTAGCCTTGGGTGTGTCCGGTTCAGACAGCCACTCGTCGAAAGTGGCTGGCAAATACAGCTGGAGCACGGGCCGTTGGTGAGAATTCGCATCCGGAACAGGACTCGGAGGAATCGGAGGAGCTGGAGGAGCAAGAGGAGCAGGAGGAGCAGGAGGTGCAGGAGGAGCAGGCGGAGCAGGCGGTGCAGGGGGTGTAGGTGGCAGTGGAGGCGCTTGTGGCTCACGGGTATACCACCCGTCCGCGGTTAGTCGCCACGCGCGAGTTGGTTTCTTCTTGAAAAGGAAGTGCGTCCCACTGAATTCCGCCATGGCTTCGCCAGCCAGGCGGGCTAGACTAGAAACTGAATGAAAAAAATGAGGAGGAGGGTGCAGAAATGGGCAAAGACGGGGACCCCTGCGGGCTAGCGGCTCGGGGTCCTCGTCAATGACAGGCAGGAAACCCCCGCCTACCCCCGTAGAGGAGCCTGCGTGGCAGCATATTCTCTGTGCTGGCAGGGAATCTTCCCCACCCTTCGAGAGGGTTCGGAAGAAATGCGGATGCCACGCAGCGCATGCGGCTGTGATTGGGCCGCACGGCAACATCCCGTCACTGCTGTCACTTTCGATGGTTCTAGACAACTTTGTGCGGTGGGAAACCGAACCGCTGCTGTTTTTGCCTGAAAACCATGCACGATCCCACTTGGTGCATGGTCCGGTGGATTCGCCTTATTGCGGGCTTCAGTTTAGTATGTTTAAAAGTGAATTTCAATTTTCCCTTATTATAGGCGCATGCGCTTATACAGACACCTCAATTAGAAGCGCACCCCCCCAAAAAACACTGTTTTATTATAAGTGCACCTGCGCTTTTATCCAGGGTAATACGGTAATGGCATTGGTCTGTGTGTGGGTATTTGTAATGGTCTCCCTCTGTTGCAACACTGAAGAGTGTGAAGAACATTGCTCTGAGGTACAAAACAGCCTTCCACTGCTCCTCTTGTCGCCTCCGCTCACATGTTGGCTGATGTAGCTCCTGCTGAGTGGTGAGACTCATGCTATGCCTTGTCTTGCTGAAGTCAACTCAAGCCCAAACAGGTAGGAAGGAGGAGAGGCTGTGCAGTGCGTGTGGAGGCAGGGCGAGTGGAGAGGCCACTCCTGCCTGCATCCCCGCCCATGCCCTAAAGGAAGGCAGCTCCGCAGCTCCGATAGCTGCAGCAAGGGGAAAGGAGTGGGGAAAGAGGGGGAAAGAAGGGGGAAAGGAAGGGCAGAGGATGGGGGGTGAAGGGGGAGTGAAGGCAGACAGAGGGGAAACAGATAAAGGGAGGAAAAGGAGGGCAAGAGGAGGGAGAAAGATGGGGAAAAGGAAGGGGGAGTGAGGGAGAGAGTTGGGGGGGCATGAGTTAGATGTGCAAGTCCGATGGGTAAGGAATGGGCAGAGGAGAAGGGGATTGGAGGGACGAATAAGGATTCACGGGTGCGTGTGAGCGCAGGTGAGTTCTAGATGCACTTCCCTCCCACTACCCGCACCCGCCACGACTATGCCTCTCGCACACACATTGCTGCGACGGGACTCATGCCACCTCACTCACCACGAGCGCACTCACCACTATTGGAGGACAGAGAGGAATGGGAGGAGAGGAAGAGGTTGGGAGGGATGCTGAAAGGCGCTGGCATGTGAATGTGCGCATCCCGGCACCTCGTCAAACGCGCAGCTGCCGGTTCCGTGTCGGTCACGCGGCTGCAGGCGCGGGTGGCGGAAGGGCGTAGGGGGGAAACCAGGAGAGAAAGTAGTGGGGAACTGCGGAAGAAAAGGGTGAAACGAGGGGAAGGAGGGATGGTAATGAGGGGTTGGAGGGGGGAAATGGGGGGAAGGAGGAGGGGACATGAGGGAAAGAAGGGGGAGAGGGAAGGGAGGAGGTAGAAAGAGGGGAAGGGAGGTGCGACCTGGAGGGGAAGGGATGTGCGACCTGGGGGGGAAGGGAGGGGCGACCTGGGGGGGAAGGGAGGTGCGACCTTGGGGGGAAGGGAGGTGCGACCTGGGGGGGAAGGGAGGTGCGACCTGGGGGGAAGGGAGGTGCGACCTGGGGGGGGAAGGGAGGTGCGACCTGGGGGGGAAGGGAGGTGCGACCTGGGGGGGAAGGGAGGTGCGACCTGGTGGGGAAGGGAGGTGCGACCTGGGGGGGAAGGGAGGTGCGACCTGGGGGGGAAGGGAGGTGCGACCTGGGGGGGAAGGGAGGTGCGACCTGGGGGGGAAGGGAGGTGCGACCTTGGGGGGAAGGGAGGTGCGACCTGGGGGGGAAGGGACATGCGACCTGGGAAAGAAGGAAGGTGCGACCTGGGGGGCAAGGGATGAGGGTGGCGAGGCGGGACGGAGGAAGGCGAGACGGCGAGGGGCGGCGAGGAGTCAGGGGGGAGATGATGAGGCGAGGCGACACGGTCAGGGCGCGAAGCGGCGCGGATATGCCAATTATCCGTGGATGCGACAAAATCCTCAGTGAGGATGATGCAACGATGGCGGCGAGCGAGCCCCGCACTTGTGGCGAGTAGACTGTCGCGGCCGCGTTTGAGCGGATGCCTCGCTTCGCGACCTGGCGAGGACGCTGTGACGAGGGCGACGCAAGAAGCAGGCGATGATGCGGCGAGGCTCCGTCGTTTGTGGCTCCTAACCTGCGAATGTAGTTGCTAGTTCCCGTGGGAAGGTGTATATCGTGCAAAGGCCCGCGTGATGGCTCTGATCTGACGTAGATGCGCGCCTCTTGGCCGTTCGATTTTTACTACTGATTCTAGTAATTGCCCGTTGTAGTTGAAGTCGCGTTCCTATCCCAGTTGTGAGACGGGTCGGCTTTACGTTGCTAATACTGCTAGGTTGTTGGGATGTTGTGCTTGCCAGTGCATACGTTTCCTTTTCCGCCAGGAATTTCCGCGGTTTTGCGCATTGGTTCCCCCAAGGAAACCTGCTCACGATATTGTTTGCCATCGCCATCGATGTTTGAATTCTTCGCACTGGTGTTTGGGGGGGAAGGGGACTTCGCTCTCGAATCATCTTGCGCCAAAGGGTGTGCACTAAGATTGCCCCCAGAAATTCCATTTTAGAATTTAGACCGCAGCTTTAAAGCTGAGTTCCACAGCAAAAGGGCTGAAGAGCGGGATGTCAGGGAGGAAGACCCCTCACTTCCCTCCCAATTTTGAATCAGGCCTTTGCGAAACAGGAGGGAGTTTGCGAATGCACATTAGAGGCCTGTGCGAAACAGTTGACCGATGAGACGACCCAAATGCAGAGCAGAGCATCAACTTGAGGCAAACAGGGGGTGTTGTCCAATAACACACCTATCATAAATAAGGTCTGTCGTTTGATCACAGCTCCATTCCATCCCTCCCTACTGCGCAGTCTCAATGCACGATCTAAATTCAGACGGTTCCTAATCTCTCAGACTACGGTTTCCCGTGTGCTGGATATTGCAAGTTCACATTGGCAACATTCCTCCTTGAAGAGCAGGTTCTGTTTTTCATGCAGTCACAGTTCGAGTTTACTTTTCTGATCCTAATTTTGAAGTCATTTACTGCAGATTCCGCCAATGCAGTCCAACCTAGCTGTTCTCGTCACTTCTTGACTTTCTAAGAATTTGGATATACTTCTTATCGCGGAAATCATGCCTCCTAAGGCCCGAGCAAGGAAGGCGCTCGCGGATTCGGGCGTCAATGTGCCTGACGAACCGTCACCCACTAAGTCAACAACCAGTTTGCGCAAGCGGACAGGTATTACAAAGGAAGTCGTCGTTGCTGAAAATGATGGAAGCCAGTGTGGAGTGGCTCCCAGCCACAGAACTCGTGCTCAGGCCGCCAGCAAGTTACCAACGAAGATACCGTCAAGGTTTGACGTTCCTGAGCAGAGTATGCGCCAGGAAGCTGGCGGGTCGGGATCATTTCTGAATCGGTTGGATAATATGGAAAAGGAGTTAGAGGAAACTCGAGCGCGGGTAAAGATGCTGGAAGGGGAAAAGTCGAGAACACAGGAGCAACTGAAGCATCATGAAGATCAAATACGGCAGTTGAAGGCTGAGCTTGCATCTGTGAACCATGGAAATAACGTTTCTACGAGCCGATTGTCGGATATGAAATCCGACGAGAATAACCAGAATGGACAGAATGACCCCGAGCTTCAGGCATTTCAGCAGTTCGTGCATGTTGTGGTGGAGAAGGTGAAAACGTCTTTGAACGATGAGATTTTCCAAGGCCAAGAGAAGGCAGGCCAGACATTAAAACGGAGAAGAGAAGAAGTTTCACCGCACGGCCAGCAACAGGTAAGATCAGCCCGCTTAATTACTTGGTTTTTTCATTATGGAAAACTTTCGCTCACAGTTTTTTCTCTTTTTTTTGCAGGAAGTTGTTTCCCCAAGTGCTCCAAGCACCTCTGCCAGCCCTTTGGAGAGTTTTCGTGCAACCCCAATGATAATCTCACAAGCTCGAGCAACAGTTGACGAGCACGCCACTATTCATGATGAGCAATCCGGCCTCTCAACCATCTACTTCAAACCTGGGATTAATGACGATAATGTGAAGGAAGTGCTCATCGCCATCCCTTTGGCTCACTCTGAAAGGCTTTCTTCCTTCACCTCCATCAACATTACTGGCAGCCTCTCAGGTTCTCGTCTCCCGTCGTCCTCGGCTATTCCTTTTCCACTACAAGCTGTTTTCACCGGATCAACGCTATATTGCGCTGGCCGTCTCCCTGCTCTCTCCAGTCTATCCATTTCCGGGCAGATGATCACTTACGAGGGTGGCCAGTCTATTGGTAGACTCTCGAGCCTCACCTCGCTGGAGCTGAGCAGCTGCACAAACATCAACAGCAGCACACTCTCCAAAATGCTCCCTGGCCTCCACAAGCTGGAGCATTTTGTACTATCCTCCACCGACATCAAAGAGGCAGGAATGAGGGTCCTGAGTAAACATCTCTCTGGAAGTCTCAAAACCCTCGATGTTACTTCATGTGAAGGTTTGACAAATGCTGCCTTCATGCACCTCAGCAGCTGTAAACGATTGGAGAAACTGGAAGCTGGGCACCTGACGAAGCTTTCGGACGCTGGGCTACTTCATCTCACTGAATTACCTCTGAAGCATGTCAAGCTGGAGTCATCGTCAAATGTTACAGGAGCTTGGCTCCTGAATGTGGCCAGCGGAGTGATACGTCAGCTAGAGCTGCTTGACCTCAGCAACACAAAGGTGACTGACAATGTACTGAAGCATCTGGCAGTTAATGCCGAAGGACTGAAGAGTCTTTGGATTCGGTCGTGTCTGAATGTCACTCAGCATGGGCTGAAGGCACTTAGCGATGTTGGAGAAAGGCTGGACGTTAAGTCTAAGGGGTGCAATGCAGCAGGGACGTTACTCAGGAGGTCGCTGGTCAATCGTTAATATGATTTGGCAGCTGCTGTGGTGTTGTAGAAGGGCCAACATTCCCTGCTGTGGAACTTTCTTGAACTCTCATCCTGTCCAGACTGGAAGTGGTGAGAACCTTTGCTTGTGATAGTTCAGTCTCTTAGATTTAGCTGGTTACAATGTATTAGGCAGCAATTGTTGTGAAGTGAACTCTCTGAAGGACAAATCAGGTTCCACAAAATACTATCTACCGGTATACCCTTCAACCATTCTCATTGCCTTATACAAATCAGCCTTCACAGCCGAGGGTACGATTCTAGTTTCTTCAAAGCTCCAGCAAACAGGGACTTCACTTGAGAGTACCTCTCCATATCAACCGGACTCAGCCCACTCATTGCCGATGCCATAGCCATCTGCATCCTCTTCCCCATCCCACTCCCTCCAGCCGACCATCTGCCAGCACCCATCCCAAACCCACTCTCCCCCCCACTGCCTCCCTCCATCCCTTCATCTTCCTCCTCCTCCGACTCCCCATATGAGTCACTCCCTTCCATCACATCCTCCATCCCCTCCCCAGCATCCAGCCCTCCAGCACCAGACCCCATTCCGCGGCTGCCTTGCAATCCCTGTAGCGAACCTCCTGCCATACCTGGCATGCCAAGGGACCCTCCCATACCAGCTCCAGCAGCCCCTGCAGCCGAGCCAGCAGCAGCACCCATGGCAGATGGGTCATGTGGGATCATGTGATGCTGGTGCGGGAGCATGGGGTGCTGACTGCTGCTTCCTCCTGCTGCTCCTCCCATGGCTGCTGAGTGCATGTGGGATGGGTCGCCATAGGGTAGCATGGTACCGTACGGACCCATGCTGCTGTGCAGCCCTCCGGTTGGTGAGTCTTGCTGGGAAGAGGGGAGTGCCCCCCCGTGCTCCCCCATCTGGTCTTCAGGCTTTATCCCAGGGAGGGCTGAACCGTGTGGGCAGAGGAGAAGGGATCAGGGAAAAGAAGAGAAACAAGCGAGAAAGAGGGAAGGGCAGCAGCGGGAAGGGGTGGTTAGTGAGACAAAATATAGGGAAAAAGTCCACTGCATCATTGAAAAAAAAAAAAAAAAAAAAAAAAAAAAAAAAGAATCTGACACTGATTTTGTGGGGGGGGGTGGGAGAAGATAGAGGTACGGTAGAGAGGGAGGAACATCTCAGCATACCTCGCTTGCGCGCAGTGGGCAGCTCGTGGCGGCGCTTGAAGCGGTAGAGCCAGCCGTCCGACACCTTGAACTCGTCCGGCAGGATGCTCAGCTCCACCGAGAGCTGCCTGGCCTTGTCCACTATCATGGCATCACTGATGTTGGCGTGCATTGAACTCACCTGAAGGAGGTGGGGCGAGGGGGGAGAAAGAGGGGTTCAAGGGAATGCAAGAGACACCATCAGCTCCACCGAGAGCTGCCTGGCCTTGTCCACTATCATGGCATCGCTGGTGTTGGCGTGCATTGAACTCACCTGGAGATGGAAGGAGGGGAGAGAGGGGGAAAGGGGGCTTCAAGTGAATACAAGATACATCATCAGCTCCACGGACAGCTGCCTGGCCTTGTCCACTATCATGGCATCGCTGGTGTTGGCGTGCATTGAACTCACCTGGAGATGGAAGGAGGGGAGAGAGGGGGAAAGGGGGGTTCAAGTGAATACAAGATACATCATCAGCTCCACGGACAGCTGCCTGGCCTTGTCCACTATCATGGCATCGCTGGTGTTGGCGTGCATTGAACTCACCTAGAGGCGGTGCGGTGGGTGGGGGGGAGAGGGAGGAAAGAGACAAGGAAATACACTGTCAGCTCCACTAGCAGCTGCCGTGCCTTGTCCACCACTATCATGGCATCGCTGATGTTGGTGTGGATGGAGCTCACCTGGAGGGAAACAGGAGAGGTGCAGTGGGTGGAGGGGGAGAGGCAGGATGGGGAGACGCAGGATGGGGAAAGGCAAGACACTACTATCAGCTCCACCGACAGCTGCTTGGCCTTGTCCACTATCATGGCATCGCTGATATTGGCGTGCATTGAACTCACCTGTTGCAGAAAGAACAAGGCGGGTGGGAGTGGATAATCACGCATGAGGAGACAGGGCCAGAACGAGAGGCGTGTATGTGAGAGTGAGATGCCACGTACCCTCACTACATATCTGTTGCACCAACAGCACCCACCTGTCGGTACCAGTGGACCAAAGCAGCCTCCATCTGAGGGAAACTTGGCCATGCAGCACCGCTTCTGGTCAAACCTCACTATGAGCCACTGAAAGATACAACCCCTTCTTCCCCCACCCTCCTCCCTCTTCCCCCCATCCCCCTCCCTCCCCTCCCCCATTAGAGACCCACCTGTCGGTACCAATGCGCCAGTGCAGCCTCCATCTGGGGGAACTTGGCCATGCGGCACCGCTTCTGCTTGGCTGCTGCGCCCGACACTCTGAGCCACCTGGGTGCGTCCTTGAGAATCTTGGAGACCGTTGTGCGGCTGAGCCTCACGCCATACCGCCTGTACACCTGGGATATGTTTCAAGGTGACGATGGGGGAACGGGGAGTTGGAAGCGGCAAGGGGGATGGTAGGACACAGGGGCAGCAAGGGACACTCTGAGCCACCTGGGCGCGTCCTTGAGAATCTTGGAGACCGTTGTGCGACTCAGCCTCACTCCATACCGCCTGTACACCTGCTTGGTGCAGATACAGGGGAACAAGGGGATTGGGAGGGGGTGTGACGGAGAAGAGAGATGGGAGACCACCTCATCTGGCAGATTGCCTACTAGTGAACACCACTTGGGTATCTCATTTTTACAGGGCAGCAGCATTGTTGTTCATGGAACTGATTTAGAATGGTTGCTTGCTCACCAAAACTCATCTCACCTGCTCCACCATCTCGTCTTGAGACACATCCCCCAGCTGCAGTTTCAGCTCGCATTTATCTGTACTCCCACTCTACACGAACGGATTTTGTTCCGAGTTACAACACAACCCATGCTCACCTGCTCTACCATCTCGTCTTGAGACACGTCCCCCAGCTGCAGCTTCAGCTCGCATCTCTCTTCATTCACACTCCACACATAAGCATCTGTTGAGTCAATCCACTACCGTTGCTCACCTGCTCCACCATCTCATCTTGAGACACGTCCCCCAGTTGCAGCTGCAGCTTCAGCTAGCAAATCACCTGCCCTGTAACCGCCACATTCCAATCCCCATACCCCATGCAGTGCATCTGCCTTCCCTCGTCTCACCCCACCCACCCTCCCCTCATCTCACCTACCCTCCCCTCCCCTCATCTCACCTGCTCCACCATCTCGTCTTGAGACACGTCCCCCAACTGCACCTTCAGCTCACAAATCTCCTTCTTCACCTGCCCTGTCACCGCCACATTCCAATTCCATGCCACGCAGTGCCTCCCCTTCTCACCTGCTCCCCATATCACTTGCCCCACCCTCCCCTCTTCTCACCTGCTCCCCATATCACTTGCCCCACCCTCCCCTTCTCACCTGCTCCCCATATCACTTGCCCCACCCTCCCCTCATCTCACCTGCTCCCCATATCACTTGCCCCACCCTCCCCTCATCTCACCTGCTCCCCATATCACTTGCCCCGCCCTCCCCTCATCTCACCTGCTCCCCATATCACTTGCCCCACCCTCCCCTCATCTCACCTGCTCCCCATATCACTTGCCCCACCCTCCCCTTCTCACCTGCTCCCCATATCACTTGCCCCACCCGCCCCTCATCTCACCTGCTCCCCATATCACTTGCCCCACCCTCCCCTTCTCACCTGCTCCCCATATCACTTGCCCCACCCTCCCCTCATCTCACCTGCTCCCCATATCACTTGCCCCACCCTCCCCTCATCTCACCTGCTCCCCATATCACTTGCCCCACCCTCCCCTTCTCACCTGCTCCCCATATCACTTGCCCCACCCTCCCCTCATCTCACCTGCTCCCCATATCACTTGCCCCACCCTCCCCTCATCTCACCTGCTCCACCATCTCATCTTGAGACACGTCCCCCAGCTGCAGTTTCAGCTCGCAAATCTCCTTCTTCACCTGCCCTGTCACCGCCACCCGCCGCCGAACCGCCGACATGCGGCTCCAAGCCTCGGGGTCAGCTCCGAGCGCCGCCAAGGCTGAGGCTCGGCTGAGCACCAGCGGCTGGTCGAGCGAAGGGACGGCTGAGATCGCGCCTTCGGATTTCGCCGAGGAAACCATGGCCATTGATGTGGGGGAGAGGTGGACGGGCGTGGGATGAAGGACTGATATTTGCTGGTTGAGTTGGGAGGGAAGGACAGAGCCTGGAGGCATGGCGTGCGGCATGGCATGTGGCATGGCATTGGGCATGCCATGTGGCATGCCATGGGGCATGGTATGGTGCATGGGATGGTGCATGGGATGCATGGTCATGGGAATGCCTTCTGTTACGGTCATCCCTACAACGTCTCCTCCTGGGGTCATGTGCCCCGGTGCGCCTATGTGCCCTGGAGGGGGAATGAGCGCCTGCGCGGAGGGCATGTGCCCTGGGGGGGCCATGTGCGCGTTAGGAGCGCCCATGTGCGCCTGCGGGGGGAACATGTGGGGCTGCGGGGCGCCCATGTGCGCCTGCGGGGGGGGCATGTGCGAGCCCTGCGCCTGCATCTGCGCGGCTGCTGCTGCTGCTTGCATGTGTTCATGCTGATGCTGTTGCTGCATGTGCATGTGGGGGTGCATGTGCATGGATGGATCCATCTGAGGTTGGGAAAAAGGGTGTGGTAGCATGTGTTGCTGTTGTTGCTGCTGCTGTTGTTGCTGCTGCTGCATTTGTTGTTGCTGCTGTCGCTGGTTCTGCTGTTGCTGCAGCTGATGATACTCCATCTGTCCACTGCCATGCTCCATATGCGCGCTACCAACATCCATGTACGCATGCCCATGCGCATGCCCATGCCCATGCTCATGCCCATGCTCATGCCCATGCCCATGCCCATGCCCATGGACCCCCATGCCCATAGTTTCAGGCGGAGCTACGTGCGCGGAAAATCCTCCATCCGCGGGAATATGCGTCCCTGGCGGAAGGCCCATCTGTTCCGCGGATGTTGGCGCGCCTGGCCCTGGCGTTGTTTCCGCTGCCGCTGCCGCTGCTGGTGCTGGTGCTGGTGCTGGTGCTGGTGCTGGTGCTGGTGCTGGTGCTGGTGCTGCCGCAGCCGCAGCTGCTGGTGCTGGTGTTGCCGCTGCCGCTGCTGTTGCTGAAGGTGCTGACGCTGCCGCTGCAGCTGCTGCGGATGCTACACCTCCTGCGCCTGCGGCTTCCCCTTCCGCCATTCCTGCCCCTGGGCTTTCCCCACCTGGCTGCGCGGATTGCTGCGCGGATTGCTGCGCAGATTGCTCCGCGCTTCCTGCAGGAGCTGCAGGCAGCGGGGAGTCTTGCTGCATGGGTTCCGCCTGTGGGGGCTCCGCCTGCGGGCGGCCCGCCTGTGGGGCCTCAGCCTGTGCGGGCTCCGCCAGTGGGGCCTCCGCCTGCTGCGCTTCGAGAGGTTGCGGAGGCTCTACCGGTTGCGATGGCTCTACCGGTTGCGACGGTTCCACCGGCAACTTTTGACTCGACTCCGCCGTCACTTGTGACGGCCGCGGCAGCTGTGGTAGCGACTGCTCTACCGGTTGCGGCGGTTCCACGGGCTGCGAAGGGCCTGAATCTGCCGCAGCTGGCGCCGATTCCATCGGCGCTTGCGAGCTTTTAGGTGCGTCTGAGTCCATGGTTGCTTGCAAGCTTATAGGTGCTTCCTCGTCGGGGTTGATAGAAGCATTGCCCGCTGCTCGTTCCTCACCTCTCTCCGCTTCCATTTCCTTTGCTTTCGCCTCTTCTGCTACTACAGCGCAAGTATTTCGATCCGCAACGTCGGTGACAGAGCCGTTGACGTCAGCAGTCAAAGCAGTCGCGACGGGATCCGACACAGCGGCTTTAACATGATAAGATGAAGCAGGAACACCTTCCTTCTGCGAGACGGAACCTGCTGCTTCCTCCAAACTTTCCGTCTCCATCCGTTTCGTCTCCGTTTTCTCCGTTTCCGTTCTTTCCGCCTCCATCGCTTCCGCTTCCACACCTCCACCCTCCGCATCCATAACCGGCGTGTCAGCAGGAGCAGCTATTGCATCAGCAGCGTCAATCTCGGCGGTACCGTCAACTACGGCGGTAGCACCGACTACGGCGTCAACTACGGCGGTGGCTTCAGATGGCGAAGCAGCAGCAGCAGGTGAGCAACGATCGTCCTCAAGCCTTTGCGCCTCAGCCACCATTGGTTCGCCGTCTGCACGCTCGGTTCTACCACTAGGTTCGCTCGCGGTCGTCGTGGCGACATCAGCGTCATCATGAGCGCTCGAGGGTGGAGGTGACGCGAGATGGTTATTTTCGACCGGTGCGGTCTCAACAATGACCTTATCGGCTCCCAATCCTGCAACATGAAATATGTAATCGAATCAAATGAAGCAAACAAAAGATACATGATGAGGAGAAAACAAAGTAACTTGACGCTATAATGGCAAGGAAATGGCCGCACACGCAGTATTGAAAAATGAAAATACGTCTTACAGTCTATGCTGAGGAACGATTTTTCTAGAGTTACATATCCAAAACGGCATCAACATTTAATATTTCAGCGATAGAAATCTCACGCCTACAGCTAAAAAATCAGACTCAGAAGTAGAAGCACGCGTCCAGAGCTAGAAAACCGGGTGAACCTTGCACGGTTGTTGTGAGAAAGAGGCTCTAAACTTAACCTAAGTGCTCTGAGTCGCCTATACCGATGCTCCAAATACAAAACAAGCAAGAAGAATAGACAGCTATCACTCGCCTGTTTCATCCGACATTCTTTTGTTCAGGTTGGCTGCGAAAAGGGAGGCAGAGGGTGATCTTAGGGGGAGCTTGCGAACCGGCCTAGAAAAGGTTCTTGAAAAGAAGACGAATGTGAGTGAACGAAACCCTCGCTTGAGCTGCAGAGAGAAGGTTGAAGGTGATGTAAGGAGGAAAGAAGACGTTGAAGGTGATCCAATGGAGGGAGAAAGAAAGCTTCCAAGTTTGAAGGTGATGCAATGGAGGGAGCGGAATTGACAGATACGTGACTTGCCTGAATGTGGTTGTGAGGGTTTCAGGATGGTGCGGGGGACGGATTCAAGTTCGTCTTAGTTCTAGAAAGATGCGTTGAGTTCTATAAGATATTCAGTACGGTTAGTCAGGGTTCAGATGCAAGAACAAGATCTGAGGAACAGATGTTGAAAAGGCGCGAAACCGAACCAACAAGCCTAGCCTCCTCTCAGTCTGGCTGACATAGCAGGCTCTAGCCTACTTCAGACTGAGGTGTTCCGGAATAGGCAGGAATAGGCAGAAATTTCTAAAATGTTTCAAGAATGCACCTTTTCGTCACTAACGACGTGTTGCGACCAAAGAGGTCGGGTCGACCAGGTCGGATTTCTCATTTCTAGGAAGGCTGTGTCGCGGGTCTAGCCAACCAGCTCGACCAAACCGCATCGAGTTGGGTCTGCCCGATCTGGGTCGACCTGGTCGGGCCAAACAGGTCGACCCGACCCAACTCAGCAAGATTGCGACGAGTTACCTGAGCTAGCGAATTTTAAAATCTCGCTACATATTCGTGTTATAGTCGTTTACGAATTGGAAATCCAGCGAGGCTAGGTTTCGGAGTAACCGTTAATTCAGCGAGTTTCTGAATCTCGTCACAGCTCGCCTAGCCTGCAGGGAAGCTAGAAACAAATTGCGCTGTAAGTGCTTCGAGGGGGTACCAAATTTTTTCAGAAATTCTTTGAGGTTCCGAACCGCGATGGTCAGGTCGACCAGGTCGACCTAACCCAGCCCAACTTGTTGGGTCGCAACACGTCGTAATTTTGGTTTTGGTTGGGCTCTCGCATTGTCTGTGGTGTGTGGTTCGTGGCTCGTCCTGACCTCAGCTGAGCCTAACCCGAGGTGCCGAACCAAACGCATTTCCCACGGCGGCTCAGTGCGTTCCTCTGAGCATGGAAGATATTTTCGCGAGCTGAAAGTTCCCACCTGGCGTTGCCCAACGAGAGCACTTCGCCGGGGCAAGTTGGAATTCCTTTATTGCTCTGCAGGTTGATCTCATTACAAGCAGGGAGGCTACATGAAACCAAACGAATTAAACGAGGATGTTACAGTAGCCTAGTACTAGTAGCCTACTCCCAAACATCAAATGGGCCGTCGAAGTCAAGCATACCTCTAAATTATGAAATCTCTATGCATTCTAAATTTCAATATTTCAGGTGTTACGATATGGAATTGTTGCATAACAACATTCATGTAGTAAAAAAATCTAACGTGAAGATGACTGCAAGCGCGGGAAATGCATTCAAACAGTTACAGTGGCGCGTAATGTTACCGAACCGCACGTTTGGCATTCCCGATCTAGATTAGCCCTAAGGGGAATGTACCCCCTTAGAGTACATTGCTAGCTAGGACCTTGCGTATTCCCCTGTATTCCTATATAAACCTTGTACCGCATTGCAATATTTACTTATGTCGAGATTCAAATCTCCTTCTTCTTACAAGGTCCGTACCCGACCTCACTAGCAAACTTCCGCTGCTACACTCTCCTGCGATCAACCTGAGACGATATTGTCAAAGTTATATCACATTTCTTAGTTAGCCTAAAGTGAGTTGAATGTTAGGGGGTACAACTTTTCACTCGTCACTCTCCTTGTACTCCCCCCCCCCCCCCCCCTTGACCTAATGAAGCCATTCCTAGCCTACTAAGTTTAACATGGTTTCAGAGCTTAGGTTAGGACCGGTCCTAGCCTACACATTATATTTTTAGCTGCCCGTCGGTTGTCATTCACGCTGCTCCGCGCCTTAGATTTGCGCTGCCATGCTGCTCAGCGCGACGCGCACCCCTCGCTGCCCTGATCGCGACCCCCCACCAGATCACGACCCACTGCCCTGCTGCCCTGCGCATGACGCGCACCCCCACTGCCCCGCTGCCTCCATTGCCCCGCGCGCCGTGCGCCTTGCGACCCCCGCTGCCCCGCTGCCGTCGCGTTGCATAGCAGCCGCTGCCCCGCGACCCCTGCTGCCCCGCAGCCCCGTGCGACCTGCTGCCTTGCTGCCCGCCGCCGCGCTGCTGCTTAGCAGCCGCTGCCTCGCAACTCCCCCCGCTGCCCCGCTGCCCTGCGTGCCGCCCCATGCTGCCGCACGCCCCTTGCTGCTGCGCGCCCCTTGCTGCCACGCGCCCCTTGCTGCCGCGCGCCCCTTGCTGCTGCCACCGCCCTTGCTGCAGGCGCCGCTCCCCCCTTCAGCCTCAGCCACGCCTGCTATAGCTGCAGCCACTGCAGCAGCTCCTGCCACATCCACTGCCGCCACTGTGCTGCTGCCTCTGCCCCCTGTCACCACAGCAGCTACAGTCGCTGCTGTTGCCTGCTCTGCTGCTATAGCTGCTGCAGTCACTGTCCGTGCTGCTGCCGCTACAGCCGCTGCAGCTGCTGCGCCTGCTGCTTCCGCCTACTGACGCTACAGCCGCTACTACTACCGCTGCAGCCGCCCTTGCCACAGCAGCCGTCATTGCTGCCACTGTTGCAGCTTCCCTGCTCGAACTGCTACGCGCCGAGCCGCCCTGCCGAGCTGCCCTTGCCAAGCCGCCCTGCCGAGCCACCCTGCCGAGCCGCCCTGCCGAGCCGCCCTATCAAGTAGCCCCGCATACCCGCGCCGGTCGGGCCTAGCACTACCCCTTGTTCCTCGTCCTGTCTTCTTTGTCACTGTCGCTAGGCCGCGCTGCTCAACATGGTGACACCCACCGTACTGGAGTTTGACGCTGAGGGTAGGTCGATCGATTACGAGTCCTGGCTAGAGGGCCTTCACCTGTACCTGCTTAGCATTACCAGTGACGACGTCTCTCTTTTTTAGCACACCTCAAGCTTCCTTCCTACCCCGCCCACTCCAACTGAGCCTGCCCCTACTGCGCTAGAAGACGCACATCAGAAGTATAAGGATGACCGCGTAGATAGTACACAGTGGTTAGCACGTGACGCCACTGCCACCCTTGCAGTCCGCAACCACCTCCCGCCCAACCAGAGGACCCACTTTCGCCAGCTAAAAACGGCCAAAGCGCTCTATGACGCTATAGTGAAGCGCTACTCCTCCCCCTCGTCTGCCGCCCTAGGCCGCCTGCTGCTGCCGTACCTCTTTCCTGAGCTGTCCGAATTCCCCACTGTCACTAACCTCATGACTCACCTGCGCACCAGTGACACTCGCTACTGTGCTGCTCTCAAGCCATACTTTCTGGCTGAGACCCCCCCCTCCCCTCTCCCCCCCCCCCCCGATGTACATCACTCTCTACTTCCTAGTGACCTGTCTCCATGACTCCCTTTGCCCCGTCCGCGACCACTTTCTTGCCCTAGACCCCACCGAGCTCTGCCTTGCCTCGTTTGAGTCCCGTCTCCTCGAGGCTGAGATAAGTGCTTACGCTGCAGCTGCCTGCTGTGGCACTCCCCTCCCTTCCTTTTTTAAGGGGTGCTCCCCTTCCCTCCTCGCGCCGTCTATCGCCTCTGCTGCTACTTCTCACTTCCTCGGTGTTGAGGAGGCCGGTGCGGCGTCCGCTCCTAGCGGGAGGCGCAACAAGAGTGGGCGTCAGAAGGGTAAGGGTGGTGGAGGTGGTGGCGGCGGTGGCGGTGGTGAGGGTGGTGGCGGTGGCAATGGCGGGGATGGTGGAGGTGGCAGTGGAGGTGGAGGTGGCGGGGGCGGTGGACGTGGCCGGGGTGGTGGAGTCACTGGGGGTGGCGGAGGGTTTTCGGGTGGTGGTCGAGGTGGAGCTAGCGATGGTGGAGGCGAGGGAGTTGTGTATGGGGGTGCAGCTGGTGGAGGCGGCGGTTCTGGGGGTGGGCAGCAGCAGCAGTCGCGCCGGCAGGAGACTCTCTCGCCACATCAGCTTCGTGCATGGGTTGCCCAGCGAGGTGGAGGGGGTAGTGGTGGAGCTCGCTGCCAGTACCGCCGACGCACGGGCCGCCCTGGAGAGGTCTGTGGCTGGGAGAGGCACACTGAGGCGCGCTGCTTCTTCTGCCTCGACGACACGTGGCGCGAGGAGTTTCGTGAGTTGAAGACGCCTGACTGGCTAGGATCGCTCAAGAGGAACGTAGACGTATTTGCTCTTGATTGGGACCAGATGTGTGCTGCCATGTATGCTATGTATTCTGCTGGTGTTAGTGCTGAGGGTGACTACTATTCTTGTGTACCTAGCTCTGCTAGTGTAGAGGTTGCTAGTCTAGGTGCTTGTGAGTCTGCT